ACGAAACACCGGTTTTTAAACAGGCAGAAAAATTTGCAGTTTCAGAAATCTGGTTTAATCGGAAAAGTAACGGTTACATCCTAAAGTAATGACCAATATTTTTTTCTGTCCAGAAATCAAATCATATATTTGAATACTCTTTAGCCAAAAGTAATTGTAATTGCAATCGATTAGTTTGATTATCGTATACAAGATTGCCTTTGGCCTGACTAGCCTCATACTCTCGAGGATTTTGTAAAAGTTTGAAGTTAACGAGATTGGTCGTAAATTCTGGATTGCGTATGAAAGTTTTCAGGTTTTGGGATGGGCGGAATTGTATTTTTTTTTAAATTCAACTGTAATTTTTTATTGTTCTAATTCTTGTTAAATTATAGCAGGAGGTCTTTTATCTCCTTGGTTGGGAGGCTGTAAGTGCCATGACGGTAATCTGGTCCTGGCCAGGAACGGAGTTGGTCTTGGCTATCGCTAAAGCCTCAATCAATTCGCTTATGATAAATATCTCTTTAACGTAAACTTTCGTTCTCTAGTAATTTCCCGTTCTGGTCGCCCTTATTGCGAAAAAAAAGGGATCCGGCTTTGTTAGCTAGTTGTTCCTCCTTATTTTTGAGTCGAAGTGCAAGTTTGCTGGCAATATTATGGGTCTTTGTATAGCCTGCTAACCCCTTGTGTGTAAAACATACTTTCATCAGTCCCATTTATTTGTTGAAAGAGCCGCCAGAATTTCTCCGCTTGTTGCGCCAAAGCTCGAGCATGTATCTTTTCGCCTCGGCCGTGGCTTTGTTCACTTAACTTATGTGTCTCAGAGTTTTCCCCTTCTTATACTTTTTGGGGCTTTTTAGCTCTTGTAGCCCTTATGTTGATGAGGTGCAAGTCGGGATTTGGAATGTCCTCGTTGACTAGGTAGGCCGTTTTGGCTTGGTTGACAGCTTCTTTGGTTCCTTGTCCAAATGGGCGTCTTCAATTAATTGTATGTCGGACGGAAATGTGTCCCACCGCACAAAGTTGTCTTTTTCCTGGTTGTGGTTTTTAAGGGATACTTCAACGAAATTTGAAATATACCCGTCGTGTTCAGAAATAGGTTGAATATGATCTACAATATTCGTAACTGACAATCGCACGTTTGTATTTCGAGGCCGGTGGCTGTATTTCCCGTTAAAAACGGCCCACTCTGGCAATCCCTCGGAGAGCAGCCAGCGGAGAGCACGTGACATCCCCCGAAGAAAGAGTACCTGTGAAAGAAACAAACAGAACGAAGAAAACAAAAAGAAAGGGAGAAGAGGAAGAATAAAAGCCGCTGATTGACTGGGCCCGTCTTTGGGCAGTAATAACGCTAGACATACTTTTTAAGGAACTGCTTATTTTCAAACCAAGTTGGCGTTTTAGTTCCGGCCATTTTCGTTTATTTTCTATTGGTTTACATCTGCAACGCCAAGGCTAGAACAGGCAAAAGCGCTTTATTTTTCAATACTTTACCCGCCTCACCTTAATCATGTGCGATGATTCTGGCAGCATATATTTTGTATGTCCTTTACTCGACTTCAATCATAAGAGATTCCGAGGTGTCCTCGTTGTCGAAGCCTCTGGGTTAGATAGCGCATTTCGCTTGTGTGATGAAAGTCTAGCTCCGTACGGTTTCATCTCGAGGGTTGTTCCTTTCTCTTCGATTTTCTTAGTTGTCATGAGCTTGGTTGCCACTACCGACCATTTTACCGTTTACAAACATGAACTGCTGCTTGCGTCCCAAGCGAAATCCGGTCGCTCCATCTTTGTAAGCCTGTCGAGTTTGCTTATGTTACCACTGCTAGAAAATATAAATGCTACACGGACAACGAAGTTGTAGATTTAGCGAGGGCCTATGGCTGTACTATATAAAGTCTTGAAGATATGTGCTGATTTACAAAAATATTCAAAAATTTGAAAAAAAAATCTCGATCTTGGTTCTTTTTGCGTTTGCCTGGAGAATTGGTGGTTATATGTTTCACTGACGTTTCAAGCAGCGCTGTTAAGGTGGGCTTTGTTGATTTCTTTTATTCGCTGGGTCGTCAAAGACTAGCACTGCCTGGTGGCGTTTTCTAAGAAAACGGTCTGTACTTCGTTCACCCTTAAGCTTACATTGCCGTGGGAGCCTCGTGCTCGCCAGAACAATCAGCCACCTCCATTTTATCACATGACCCGGCTCCTTTCGAGTGGGTATAGGCGAAAGCATCACCACGTAACGAAAGAGACACGTACGACTGGTACAACAAGGACGTAACTTCCACCACAGTCTTTGCCTAGGTGTTAACCGAGTATAGAGGATTCTTTGTTGTTATGGCGATCTTTCTTTACGTTTCGTTTGCATAAACGGAGCATTCCTTCTGGGTGACGCCGTCTTTGTAATTGCGTCACGGATATCCTTGCTAAATAGGCGGTAGACCTCTTCGCAACATATAGTTTTTAAAACGACCTTGTGCGTATGTGTCGATGACCCATATTTGTCGGAGTCGTAGAACGGTTACGCGGCATCTGCATCTGGTGCCAGGGTTCTAGCTGTTGGTCTAATTTGTCCTTTTCCATTGACGTCTTCGCGTTTTTGTTAGTCTTTTGGGTGATTTCTTGAGAAAATTCGCTTTTGTTGTTGGCTAGGATCTCGGTTGAGCACTGACGTATTTACAGCTGAAAAGTCGCCTTATTCTGTTTAAACGAAAGCTGCTTTCTTGGTCAGGAAGTACGTTAAATTCGCTTGTTCCTGCTTGAAGAGCATGGATTCTTTCCATTCCTCATCGGATACATTAAGAAAAAAAGCCGCCTTCTTTGGAGGTGTATTCCCGTGGCTGTCTTCTGGCAGGCAGGAATGGGTGTGCGTTCCCATGTTTTTTGTTTTTTCTTCTGGTTGGGATTTTGGCTAGAGTTTGGATCGGAACGATGATCATTGGTCCTCTTTGAGGGTAAAGAGGTTCTTGTTGCTGTTAAAAGAGGCCCAGCGTTCCCGGGCGGGTTGGTGGGACCCGGGTACGGGGTTCACAGAGATGCGATGCTCGACAAGGCTTAGCACCGAACGCGGGGGCTGAAAAAAACACGTCCGCACTCTTGGTTTTCAGAGCGTGCCTCCTTCCTCTGACTCCCCTAGAGCGCTGGCTCAGAACGAGTTCACATTAACAGGCTGCTAAGACCGGCAATCTTTATGACGTGAACTACACCTTGCAAAAAAAAAAAAACAACTTTGGATGCCGTCAGAACGCCCTCGAACTCACCTATGGCCGCCAGTAAGACTCTCATTGTTTTTGTTTTCTTTTATATTATAGACGCAACAGCTGGTTTTTATCGCAGAAGGCTGGCAGGCGGTGAGGAAAGGCAATTCAATTCAAAATAGGGATATGCGGGGTTACCGCGTTTTTGTCGAGCAGTTCGAATACCAGGCAGAATTGCAAAGAAAATCCTAATGTGTCCCAAGTTTGTTTATCCAAAGGCCCTAATCTACATGGCGGAACCAAGCGGGACGAAGGAACCGGGACATCGCCGCCCTGCTGCTATCGGTCATCGGTGCGGAGCTGGCCAATCGCAGCAGGCGGCGGAGTCCCGGTTTCTTGGTCCGGCTTGTTCCTGTCGTGTAGATTAGGGCCTCTGGCTTATAAAACTTAGGACAAATTAAGATTTGTCCCAAATTAGGCTGAAGTTGGCCCCAAGGGTCTAATGAGGCTTTGCTCCAGGATGACATTATGGCCAAGACACTTTGCTGTGCCATTCTACAAACCGTCCGCTCTTACAGCCAGTTTCATTACGCCACCGCTGTCACCACGCATAGTAGAAAGTTTGGTCTATCTGCACGCGCGATAACCGCACTGAAGGTTTCTGCGAGCAGAGCACGCAACGAGCTGTCTCATTATCTGCCACCTCCTTCCTATGAACTACAGTTATGGCGGCGTCACGCATGTGTGGAACACCTAGTGACATCGGTCTATTGATATGAGTGGACAAGAGGCCTAACCGAATGCTGACACAGCACTCATACCCAATTTGTGCTTGCGCTCAACCACACTGTGATAAGGTCAAAATGTGACCACACGTGCTTCAATTATTAATGGTAGTGTTTCTATAGTCCCCTATCACCGCTATTATCATTTACAGCATAAACTAGATTCTACCGTTTGTATAAGGCTATCAATGCTCTCACAGTATACACGGCCTGACAAGAATGACTTAACAAGCCGTGCGTTTTGATACCAGAGGTCTATCTTGGTTTGACATCTCTTACCATGTGGTTTTGCCACTTCTTTCAATATCAAAACCACAAACCAAATGTCAAAACCACGTGATAGATGATAAGGACGTAACGCTCACTCGCAAGCGTTTCATGATAAAGATTCCGGTTGAATAAGCTGCCGTAGCAAAGGCAGCGTACGAAGTCTTTCACGTGTACATAAGTTTTGGTACACTGCATTTACTTTTATTTCGTCAATCATTTGGTATAGACCCTTTTCCTGTTTACAAACATGAACTGCCGCGTGCGTTCTAAGCGACTTCGTATCGCACCGTCTTTAGAAGCCCATTGAGATTGCTCATGTCAGCAGTGCTAGGAAGCATAAATGCTACACGTACAACAAAGCTAGAGATTTTACAAGGGCCTTCGGTTGTACAATATTACATCTCGGCGGAGGAAAGTTGGTGTACAAGAATACTCTAAACATTTGAACAGACCTCGAACTCCTTCGTTCCTTTGGCGTTCACCTGAAGAATTGGCGGTTAAACGTGTCATCTGCATTTAAATCCGAGGTGTTACGGTGGCCTTTGTTCATATTTTTTTATAGAACGAACTGTCTCCGGGACATCAAAGACTGGAACACCACCTGGTGGTGTTTGCCATAAAAGGGTCTATAGTGTAGTCGGCAATCGTTGCAGGCGATATCACAGCTTCGCTGTTAAACCACCTTCACAACGTGGATTGGAGCCCTAACGTTTTGCAAACAAATTCAGATAATACGGTGACCCCTGCAATTTGTTTTATATTGCCTTCGATACAGCTACCACCACGGAAGAACAGGAATTTGTGAGAGGAATACTTGAAGCAAACCAACTCGAAGATTGGCCAAGAACTCCGGGAGAAGGGAACGCGTCAGAAACAGTTGAGCAACTATTTGGTAGCCTCGGTTGGGAAAGCCTCGTGTTGATTGACATTGTACCCGACAAGAAAAACGTTTCTCGACACGTTTTAATGGTAAGCCTGCATTATAATTAATATCGAGAGTTTTGTTGCCATTGCAATCTTTCTTGAATGGCTATAGTCCGTAACAGGCTAAGAGTTCAGGGGAAGGTTTTCCCACCACATTCTACTTTAGTAGAGCGAACGCCGGAGAGGAGGCGACCACCTCTCCAGCATTCGCACTGCTGAAGTGAAGAAAAAAAAAGTAGGAGGAGCTTTCCCTGAACATTTAGAACTCTTAACTTCTCTCTGAATAAAGGAATTCTATTGCCCGTAGAGAAAAAATTATTTGGCGAAAGTGCGCATTACTTTCTATCGTAAGGTTTTGGTGTCTCAAACTAAAAAAAAAAAAAATACAAGTGCAGAAAAGCAGAATAAAAAACACAACATTGTCACTCCCAAGCTCTCCAGCCCTTCCCCCTTCCTTCGTTTCTATTCAAATATTTCTCAACAATACATTCTTTAATCAAACTTAAGAAAAATACGTCTCCATTTCCATGAATTTTTCAGATGGATCAGCCGAATATCGACTTTTTGGAACGAGATGAACTTATCTACCAAAGTGATTCAGAAATAGTCAAACTAAATAACATGTACAAATCTATTATGGTTAAATTCATGATGTACTTTAAACCAAATATTACAGAAAAACTCGCAAAACGATTGTCAAACAACATGTATCACTTCATCGTTAAAATAGCCAAGGTAAGATATTGCGCTATTCGATTCCCTCCTCGGTAATAACTGTTGTCCATTTAAAGAGTACGATAGTGGTAGTTGTTCACCAGATTTTGACTCTATTCCATCAAATGAATAGTTTGATTTCTATTATTTGTTCTAGCTAACAAAATCGGATGAGGATATACGCTCGACAAGTATAGAAAGATATAATAAAAAGAAACTCAAGAATCTCAAATGGAGACACCCGGTAAGCAATTTTCTATATACACCCCAAACGGAATCTCAGACGTCTGTATTTTTATAAGTAGTACTTCAAAAACTTAGAATATCCCGTCATACCTTATATTTTATACAAAAGACACCATATGAAAATATTGTCACCTGCAGTGTCGAGAAAGCAACGCTCGGTCACGGACTTCTAGAAGATTCGGGTTCATGCTTGCACAACACGTAACTTTCCCTCTGCTTTCTTGTTCTCGAAAGTGCCAGTTCATCCTCGCCCCGAGCGCACGACGCTGGAACATTCTTTGGCGAACTTTCAAAATAGTGACGCGCTGTAAATAAGCAGCTGCTCGCGACTTTGTCGAGTCGGGCTCGCTCTCGCTCGCTGTTGCGCCGCCGAATCGCCGCCCGCTTTTCCGCTGCCTCGACGCTCGTTCTTTATTACTTCTCGTTTGGCACAAGTTCGCCGATTAAAACTTTATTTTCAGTTCGCTGTTCGGCTTCTCCTCACCTTAATTCGTAAAATTTCTATAAAACGTACACCTCCGAGGCCTCGTAGCACAAGCCCAGTCCCGAGTTTAAAAAAAAAAAAACGTATGTGGAGACGACCAAGACCCGAGGAAGCCTCCGTATTCAAGGTTTGCTCCCGGAGTTTGGTCCACTGCCGAAGGAGACCCACCAGCCGGTGAAGCCGACGAAGCCGACGATTAGCAAGCAAACAATCGTCCCAGACCCATGCCGCCTGACCAGTCGTGTACTTGCCCGTCGCCCCTCGTACGCCCACGCCTTTCCACTTCGAGACCCACGAGGACTGGATCGAACACTACGAGCGCGTCGCATGCCATAATGGTTGGACTGCCGACCAGTACCTTCACAACCTCTATGTTTCGCTGGAGCGTACTGAGAGGCACTGGTTCGAGAACCACGAGGCTACCCTCTTGTCGTTACTCTTGTCTCGTTGTCATCACTTTCTGCAGGTGGCGAGAGAGCTTCCCACTGAAAACCGAATAGTCTGCTCCGGTGTCGATGAGTGCCTTCGTGTCGTGGCCGTCGATGGTAACGTCGAGGTTGTTCGACCCCGTCACAAAAGCAATGTTCTGAGGCGTCTCGTCGCTAGTGTGGGAGCCCCCGACGCTTGCGGAGGATATTGGCGCGGTAACGCCACCTCCCGGTAGTGTCGCACTTATTTTTGCCGGCGGGACACAGGAGACGTGCTCTCTCGGTGGGATTTACGAAGTGGCGACGGCGGACGTTGTGGTGACGGCGAACGGGACCCACGTCGAGCCGCAGGCATCGGAAGGGGTAGACGTCGTAGGTAGTCTTCGATCTCTCGCGGTCGCTCACCGTAGCGTGGGCGCGGGTTGTCGGGGTGGAAGCCGCGCTGCCCGAGTTGTCTGTAGGGCATCGGTGATAGACATGGTCGGCTTCCCCGCAATGGTAACACAGCTTGCGTCGGTCGGCCGTCCTCCACACGTCGGTCTTACTGGGGGAAAACCGGCGGGCACACGTACTGCCGATCTTCGTGACGTTGGGAGTACTGCGGCGCTGGATGCTCACGACGTGGAGGCGCCACATACGGACGAGCAGGCGGCGGTGTTCGGCGAGCCATTCCGGCGTAGGACAGCGTCGGTTCCTCGGGGGCTTGCACGTCGACTGGAGTTTCAGGCTGCAAAGCCCGGTGTACCTCGTCGCGTACAATCTCGGCGATTCAAGAAACCACTGGCATTACACCTTTTCAGCTGGTGCAAGGCAGAAAGGTGACGACTATGCTCGCCGCCCTGCTGCCCCACAACCCGACAGAGGACGGTATCGACGACGCCCAGCTGGTCAACCAACGAGCAGAAGTACGCCAGCTAGCCCGCCTTCGAATTAAGGACCAGCAACGTGTCCACGCTGGCCGGTATACAACCTTCGTCGCCGCGACGTGGAGTTACAGCCTGGAGACAAGGTGTGGGTGTGGACGCCCATTCGCCACCGCGGCCTCAGCGAGAAACTGTTAAAACGCTATTTTGGACCTTACAGGGTCATACGCTGCCTTGGGGACTTTAACTACGAGGTGCTCCCCTACGGAACCCAACCATCAGGACGCCAATAGCCACGACACGAGGTCGTAAACTCAAGCCATTCTACGCGCGTTAGGATTGTGACACTGCATGTTTATTCCGTTTCACCGTAAAGTTTTCAGCCATGTCTGCTTTTCTTTCGCGTTGCATCGGGACGATGCACTTTTAAAAGGGGGGGGGGGGGGGGGCGAAGGAGGGAAGGGTGGTTCGCGTCCATTCTTGCACCAGACGTAACTTTCGCCTTGCTTTCTTGTTCTCGAAAGTGCCAGTTCATCCTCACCACAAGCGCGCGACGCTCGAACATTCTTAGCCGAACTTTTGAGATAACGACGCACTGTAGATAAGCAACTTCCCGCGACCTCATCGAGTCGGTCTCGCTTTCGCTCGCTGTTGCGCCGCCGAATCACCGCCCGCTTTTCTGCTGCCTCGACGCTCGTTCTTTATTATTTTTTGTTTGGCACAAGTTCGTCGATTAAAACTTTATTTTCAGTTCACTGTTCGTCTTCTCGTCACCTTTATTCGCGGCAATATTGTGTTACTTTGGTTTTGTATTAAATCAGTTAGCTATATACGCGTCCATGCTAGTACCCCGAACGGAGGAGAATTCAGGTAGGGGGACCTGTAGCAAGCATGCTCGATTACTTTGTTTTATTTATTTTACTCTTTTTTTTTAATAAGTGTAGTGTGAAGATAAATATGCCTTTCAATGTAAAATGTAGAGGTTAATTTTCCGTGATAGCGATTTCCTAGCGTTTGTTTAAAGCACTTTAAATGAAAAATGCTGCATCAATAATTTGTAAAGACTACCCCAAATATATGGTTGACGTTCTCTGAGGTTCTAGCTGCGACCTTAAAAAGATTTTCGGTCTGAATTTCACGGCGTTTCTTCCGAAAACGGTATAGCTCAAATACTAGACATTACGGAAAGGTGAATTCTGGCCGCTTGCTCTCACATAATAATAGCCAGGACACCGGTCATGCTGTACATGATTGCGGGCGAAGCTCATACGTGAAGACTTTTTACCCCTAGAGTAGGGAGTGACAGGATGCATGTCAACTTCACTCCGGCATTCTGTGGCAAACATGTCTACCGTATTTGCTGGAAGAATAGATGCACCGATTATAAATGAGGCCCGAGCGTTAACATTCCGAAACATCGCACATACAGCCATCATCACATCCCCCATAAGAAAAGCTAATGACGAGGTAGAGAAGATGATTCTGCGCGAAAACGACATCTTCACATATAGTTATTCTGCGTGAAGACGTTATTTCTCTGTACCCTGAAGGATGAGTCAAACACTCACGACAAACCTACGCTATTCAGAAACTACATTTCTCTTAAACTATCAATATAAGCGGATGCGCATCACATCGAACACTTTTCAAACCGTATTTAAAAGAGAAACAGGACGATAGTTATTTAAATCACTATCATTACCAGATTTAGAAATCGGCACAATAGATTTATTTTCAGTTTTTCCGGAAATACACCGTATTTGAGTGATATATTAAATATAATACCAAGAATTAGGGCAAACATGTCACTGCAGCTCTTCGCAATAGACCATTTGCTATATTACCCAAGCATCAGGGAGAATGCATGGATTGGTCTTCCACGCGCCACACGTGCACGCCTTCCTCGTATAAAAGATTCGAAGTAAATAACCAAAATAAAGCGTTAAAGAACGCGCGTGCAAGATGCCATTTGTTTTGAGGTATTTTCTTTAGAAAATTTGCTACTGATGAGGCCAGCACGTGAGGCGCGTGGAACAGCAATCCCTGCATTCTCCTTGATGCTTAGGCAATATAGTAATAGGTCTATTAAATTGGGAATACCTCGAACACAGTGGATACCTTAGAATTCAGTTTTCCGATAGTAGGAAGCACCCGATGAACCGTGACACTCTTAAAAGGCAAAAAGTCATCAACACCTTGTTTCACAGTAAATGTCGTGTCGAGATAAAAAAAAAACAAAAACGATTCACTAACATTAATTGAAAAAAGCTCACAAACAAGCTTTGGGAACTCGCGAATAATCGAACTATTGCATTGCGTTATGTTGCACGACTCCTTTCTGGAATTCTTCTTCATTAAGTGCCAGAATTATTCAACCTGCTTACAGTACAGGTACTGGTAATTTGAGAGGAATTTCTTTTTTAGTTCACGACAAACGCCCCCGCAGGAAATGTGCATCTAGCGTTCTACCGGTTCCGCCGCTTCGCGAACGCCATCAGGTGAGCGCCCAACGAGAAGCCGCCAGGCGTTCAAGAAGCTTGTCAACTGACTTCGATCTAGCAACATTGTTAACACCCACCAAAACGTACACATTTTATGAAATTTTAGGATGGTGACGTGGAGGCGCCGATCTGTCTGGCCGGTTTTAAAGCCACCCTGAGAATTTATGTCACCCTACATATCTTGTTACAAATTTCTAAAATATTGTTTGCTTGAACCGCATAACTTTTGGTTCTCATGCCATCTTATCTTTGACAAATCATAACTCAACCGATTTAACAAAAAAACACCAAAAAAACTTTGGCCTCTAGTAATCCGTAGGAATATATTTTCGTGGGCTCTAATTATTCGTAATAAGATATTTTGGTTATTATATTTTATAGACAAGGATAGTTTGATTCACGGTGGTTCAATACCTGCCTCACGGCAGTTACGATTGATGAGCAACACTGGTCTATTTTAAATTTTATCTACCGTCAGGTATAACGAGAATGGCATGCATGACGGTTCGATCGCAAAATCAAAATAGAAAAACTACAAGTATTTCCCGAAATCTATGTTTGCATCCTAATTCCGCGGCCACTTTTATATATATATATATATATATATGTGTGTGTGTGTGTGTGTCTGTGTGTGTCTGTGTGTGTGTGTGTGTGTGTGTGGAGAGACAGAGAGAGTGAGACCAAAGAGGGGAGAAAGTGATTTTTTTCCATTTATTGAATTA